AACTAAAATGATTAGGGGTTTGGAACGGGTCCCATATGAGGAGAGATTAAAGAGACTAGGACTTTTCAGCTTGGAAAAGAGGAGAATAAGGGGGGATATGATAGAGGTATATAAAATCATGAGTGATGTGGAGAAAGTAGATAAGGAAAGGTTACTTACTCCCTCCCATAATACAAGAACTAGTGGCCACCAAATGAAATTAACGGGCAGCAGGTTTAAAACAAATAAAAGGAAGTTCTTCTTCACGCAGTGCACAGTCAATTTGTGGAACTCCTTGCCTGAGGAAGTTGTGAAGGCTAGGACTATAACAGCGTTTAAAAGAGAATTGGATGGATTCATGGAGATTGGGTCCGTTGATGGCTATTAGCCAGGATGGGTAAGGAATGGTGTCCCTAGCCTCTGTTTGTCAGAGGGTGGAGATGGATGGCAGGAGAGAGATCACTTGATCGTTGCCTGTTGGGTTTACTCCCTCTGGGGCACCTGGCATTGGCCACTGTTGGTAGACAGGATACTGGGCTATATGGACCTTTGGTCTGACCCAGTACGGCCATTCTTATGTTCTTATGACATATTATTAGAACAAATTGTATGGAAAAACAAATGCAGATTGCTGAAATCATTGAACAAATGGAATCTGAAATATTCTTGCTTTAGGAAGAGGGTACTTTGAATGTTGACCAATCGCCCCCTAATTTTAATATGCTCATAATTTAAAAAAAATGTTTTAAGTAATGGTAAAATAGCTGAAAAGTAATAAATTGACTCAGTATCCTTGAGGAAAGTATAGAATGTATGCATATAAAATGTTTTTTTTTCCCTCTTGGAAAGGAATCTAGAACACTGGCTGAAATAGCAAAGACAGAACTTGATGGTACTATTTTGAAGAGTAGACCACTTCGTATTCGATTTGCTACACATGGAGCTGCCTTAACAGTCAAGAATCTTTCACCTGTGGTTTCCAATGAGCTTCTGGAACAAGCTTTTTCTCAATTTGGTCCAGTGGAGAGGGCTGTTGTTGTTGTAGATGACCGTGGCAGAGCTACAGGAAAAGGTTTTGTAGAGTTTGCAGCAAAACCTCCGGCAAGGAAGGCTCTAGAGAGATGCAGTGATGGGGCATTCTTACTAACAACGTAAGTTTAACGTTTTTTTTTTTTCTGGTCAGATTCGTGGGTGAGTGTTTTTATAATGTATAGAAAACTGCAACCACAAGCCTGGCCATACCTTTTATTGTTTTCTCAGAACTGGGACCAGATTTGTTGTGAAATAGATGTCAGCTGGAAAGTCGTTTTGAGTATTCACACCAAACATCTTACTTTGCTCAAGAATTTTTCTGTGAAAACAAGCTAGTTATGAATTATATCTACAGCCATAAGATTTATTTGATTATATGTAAATACAATATTTTCATGGGTAGGTGGTATTATTTTTTTTGTAGATTCTTTAATTATTTGCCAGTAACTTTTACTTTCTCCATAGCTATTCAGAATTCTCCAAAGGTAATTGGATTCTTTTTGGTTTCACTCCTGACCATGAAGTTTCCAGTAACAGTAGTGAAAACTGACAAGACTCTAGTTGGTTTTTACTTTGCGGTATCTTGGCAAAACCATAAGCAGAAGCATTGGAGTTTTCTATTTGCAGACTTAGGGCTTAGGAGGAACATGACCCTGCATCTGTTCATATTTTGAAGGTTATGTTTGCAACTGTGTTGCTTTCTACTAACTGTGGGCAGGTAAATTTTTCAGGTCTTGCTGTTATTGATAGCACCTTATCACCTTTTTTTAAACTCTTCCTTCATACTTTTGTAATTCCGCCTTTTCACACTTTGCCATAATGGCAGAGGACTATCAGTGTTGTTGTGCCTGCTCACCTACATGCATTTGCTAGCAGCAGTTTCATGCTGCTTTGCTGAGTATGGTTGAAATTGCAACTGCTTAGGAAAAATGTATTGTGTGATTATCTGTAACTTTTCTCATTTGGGTGAGTGTCATAGTGTTTGAGTGAATAAAAACACATGATTTTGGCCTGAATTAAAAATCTGAAATATTCCCTAATGGACTAAATTACAGGCATATTTAGTAGGTCCCCGTTGTGGCTGCTGCATTGTGTTGCAGGCACATTATATATGGCACTCATTACAGGATGTAACTGATAATGGAATCATTATGCAACTGTTTTGTAAATATACTTTTGTGCAAACTGCTGTGCTACAAAGATGTAGGATAGGGAAAGAAGAAGCGCCATGGAAAGAATAGTGTGGCCACCAGAATTTTACATTACCAGTTTTAGTATTCCAGAAAACAATCATACAAGGAAACAATTTGTTACACTCTATGTAGCTTTTGGGGTTCTTTGTGAAGATCTATATAATGGGATGAGATTTTTCACATTTTGTACCCATCCTGATTGGTTTATGCAATTGTATTGAAAAACTCTTGTGTTATATGTTGAATGCCCTTAATAATCAGGGATCGAGGGAGCTTTTCAGACCATTGAGGGCCAGATTCTGCCACCCTAGTGTTGATATCTTGCTCTGTGACTATTTCCATTGAAATCAATAGGTACTACTCAGTTTGAGTAAGGGTGACAGAATCAGGAACTCATGGTTTAATTTCTTTTTTAATTAAATGAGTTCTTTCTTCCATTAACATTTGATTCTCTTCATAAGTTGAACATGAGCATATGCTATGTTGTAATGGCTATACCATCATATCACTTTGAATAGTATTGTGCAGTCCTGTAAGTTTTTTTCATTATTTGAAGCCTCTCTACTGTATGTAAAATAACAATATTAAAAAGTATAGAACTGACGATGTTGGGAAAGTAATGGAATCAGGGCTGCCCAGAGGATTCAGGGGGCCTGGGGCAAAGCAATTTCGGGGGCCCCTTTCATAAAAATAAAGTTGCAATGCTGTATTCTCGTGGGGGCCCCTGCGGTGCCTGGGGCAAATTGTCCCACTTGCTCCCCCCCCCCCCACCCCGTGCCCGGGCGGCCCTGAATGGAATTGGCTTTCCCACAAAAGAAAGTCTCTATAATGTGTTGCTTGTTTGTGTTTGATACTCTGGTGTGCATGCTATTGAGGTATAGCTCATGAAGGGAAGATGTTGATTTCTAAGAATATGGCACTTTACGGAACAGGACATTTAAAAAGTCAGTTATGCTGAAATTATTTTCTAATTGTAATGGGAACTCTGTCTACAGTGGAGTCGCATCTTACGTGGGTTCTAAAGTCAGCACGTAAGGTGAAAATCACATAGTCAAAATTGCCCTTGAAAATCCTTTAAATTGCCCATAAAGTACAGTATACTTGGTTTTATGTACAGTATATAACCCTGTACAGTAATATGTATAATGTGCACAGTATATAATATAATTTTACAGTACTGTATTTTTAATTACATGAGAGAGATGGAGAATGAAAGAATAAAAAAGGAAAACAGTAAACCTAACCACTCACCATTCATCCTGGATATTCTTCCTAGTCTACGACGACAATGACACTATTGGAGAGGTTGTCAGGGCTTGATGTCAATCCAGGAGACAATGGGCCAGGCTCATCTGTTGCTGGTTGTTTTTTCTTGAAAAACCTGGTGATCGGCAACTGTTGCTGTTGTATCTTGAGCTGCTCAAACATTTCTTGATACTGTCTCAAATTGTCTGTGATACTTCGTGTGATTTTGAGGCTTCGTTCCATAGAGGGATCTTATTCAGAAATTAAATCATTCAAGTGTTTCGCTGCTTGGAACACTTCAGCAAATTTATGAAGATTCCAACTTGCTGGCTCTTCCTATTCATCGTCATCATCTTTGTCTTCTGTAGGCGATTTTATCAGTTCCTCTAAGTCTTTGTTTGTCAATGTTTCTCTCTAAAAAAACAGGAGTACTTGTGGCGCCTTAGAGACTAACAAATTTGTTAGAGCATAAGCTTTCGTGGGCTACTGCCCACTTCTTCGGATGCATATAGAGTGGAACATATATTGAGGAGATATATACACACACATACAGAGAGCATGAACAGGTGGGAGTTGTCTTACCAACTCTAAGAGGCCAATTAAGTAAGAATTTTTTTTTTTTTTGAAGTGATAATCAAGCTAGCCCAGTACAGACAGTTTGATAAGAAGTGTGAGAATACTTACAAGGGGAGATAGATTCAATTTTTGTAATGGCTCAGCCATTCCCAGTCCTTATTCAATCCTG